CCCACAGTTTGGAGACCAGCCTGGGCAACATGGCAAGACCCGTCTCTACAATAAATCAAAAAAATTAGCCGGGCATGGTGGCGCGTGCCTGTAGTTCCAGGCTGAAGCGGAAGAATCCCCTGAGCCCAGCAGGTTGAGGCTGTGGTGGCCATGAGCATGCCACTGCACTCCAGCCTGGGTGACAGAGTGAGATTCCGACTCAAAAAAATGATAATAATAATCATGTCTGTCAATATACCTATGCTACCTCTCAAGTCTGGAGCCCAACGAGGCCACTGCCTCCTTTTTAGTAGGCAGTTTGATGTACTGCAGCTTGTCCTTTAGTTTGTAGAAAAATCTCATCACCCTCCAGGCCCCTGGACAGTTTACTAAGTAGACAGGCCCCTCCTTATTTCTGGAATTTATTATCTGTCCTCTGGCACATACATCATGCCTTACCAAGTCATCTAGAGTATCTGTTAATTCCTGCTCTTAAGGTCCAACTGAATGATGTTGTCTGCCATAGTAGATCAGCCTGATATGCATTAGAGTGATGATTTGGTAAAACAAAACAAAACAAAATAAAAACAAAACAAACAAAAACCCCCCTGTCAACTCAGTGTCTACAGCCTGGCATGATGGTTCACTCATGCCTGTAATCCTAGCACTTTGGGAGGCAGAGGCGAGAGAATTGCCTGAGTCCAGGGGTTCAAGACCAGGCTGGGCAACTTATTATCTCTACAGTAAATAAAAAAATTAGCCAGGTGTAGTGGCACATTCCAGTTACTTGGAAGGCTGAGGCGGAAGAATCACCTGAGCATAGCAGGTCGAAGCTGCCGTGACTGTAAGTGTGCAATGCACTCTAGCCTGGGCGACGGAGTTAGCCTCCAACTCAAAAATAAAAACAAAACAAAAAAAACTGTGTCTAAGTGTGTCCAGAGAGTGACATGCCCTGAAGCAGGAAGTGAAGGCTGACTGCTGGCCCTGACGGATGAGTGCAAACTGCCCTGGTGTTTCGTGTAGAAGAACAAGCCTTGACTAGGCCTCTAGTTGCCTGTTAGAGCCCAACACCTGTGCTGATCTGTTCCAAGAAGGACCACATCTGGAAAAGTGCCCACAATTGAGACACTCACTAGAATAAGTTTATCATAATGCTCTGCCTTTTTTTTCTTTGAGTTGGAGTTTCACTCTGTCACTCAGGCTGGAGTGCAGTGGCATGCTCACAGCCACTGCAGCCTGGGCTCAGGAGATCCATCTGCCTCAGCCTTCCAAGAAGCTTGAACCACAGGCATGTGCTACCATGCCTGGCTAATTTTTTTGATTTATTGTGGAGACGAGGTCTCATCAAGTTGCCCAGGTTGGTTTCAACTCCTGGGCTCAGGCAATCCTCTCACTTGTACCTCCCAAGCTGCTAGGATTACAGGTGTGAGCCACCGCACCCGGCTTACTCTGTCATTCTTTAAGGTCATCTCTCTTCTATGCTGGCCAAACTGAAGAGATAACGGTGATGTGATGGGAATTACCTTGCATCTTTAAAATCTTTGATAGTGGTGTGTATCCCTGTGATGAGATAAAGTACTGTTTTTTTGTTTTGTTTTTGTTTTTGAGTTGGAGTCTCACTGTTGCCCAGACTGGAGTGCAGTGGCCGCTTCCGGCCACCGCAGCTTTGACCTGCTGGGCTCTGGTGATCCTTCCACCTCAGCCTTCCAAGTAGCTGGAACTACAGACGCGCGCTACCACACCCGGCTAGTTTTTTTTGATTTATTGTAGAGATGAGTTCTCACCAAGTTGTCCAGGTGGGTCTCGAACCCACGGGCTCAGGCAATTCACTAACCTCAGTCTCCCAAAGCGCGGGTTTATAGGCTGAGCCATTGAGCCCGGCTTCTTTTTTTCTTTAAGTTACTTGCCTTGCCTGAAGAATTTGTCTCCTTGCTCTATACAGTTCTTGATGTCTGTGTTTAGTTTGTTTTTTATTCTCTTTTTTATTTTTTAACTTTGGGTTTTTGGGGGGTTTTTTTTGGCCTTTTTTTATTTTAAAGATGTGGGGTACAAGTCAGGATTGGGCACATTAGTGGATGACATACAGGTGAAGTCTGGGAAACTTTGATTCTTAAGAGTCATTTTAGTGTTCCTGCAAAGGCCAGCCAGTAATTTGGGCAGAGGTTGTGCTAGTGCATTTTAAACCCTTAAAGTTGTTTTGTTTTATTTTTTCAGTTGTTATTGTTATTATTATTACTAGAGATGTGGTCTCATTATTGCTAGTTTCAAACTCCTGACCTCAAGCAATCCTCCCACTTTGGCCTCTCAAAATGCCAGGACTGCAGGCATGAGCCGCCACAACTGACCAAGCCCTTAAAGTTTTTGATATCAATCTGTGGGTTAGTTGGAGAATGCATTCAAAGTTGTGGGCATTTTTTGACTCTTCGTTGACTTTTTACTTTTAACAAACTTTCTGATGTTCCTCACACATTTACTTTTCTAGTCAGCCAGGTATTTGTGGAGACCTAATATGAATCCATCTGTGACTTTCTTATTTCTAAGATCTCCCTATTAAATTTCTTGATAATCTACTGTTCACCTCAACTTAGACTGCATCCTCAGTCTTGCAGAACTTCAGATTTTCTCTGTCCATTTATACCAAGTCCACCACTTTCAGCCAGTAGAACTGATTTGCGTCTCATTGAATTGATTTTGTCCCCTCTGGCACAAAAGTACAGGCTTATTATTTCTGAGCTGGTAAAACTATAGATCTCTTTGACTGAACTGGGGACAGGGTCATGGAGGTAGTTCTAGGTAAAGCCACAGATTCTAGCTATTCCTGCCCAGAAGCACTGACAGGTTTTTGATAATCAACAGTTATCAATAGAAAATTTCCAGTGACCTGATATGATTGGCATTTGGGGTTAATTTTGTTCAGTTTTTATGCTTTTTTTGTGTGTGTGTGTGAAAGGGAGTCACTGACCTCTTCATACTGTCATTGCTTTTGATGGTGTTTTGAATCCCAAAGATGATAGATTGTATAAAGGAAGGCAGCTTTGTTATTTGTCAGATTGTGTCTAGATGCTTTCACACAATGATGCTTCATTATAACTCTGACATAGTTGGTTGTCAACTTCTTTATCCCACCTTTATTGGAAGTTACTCTTCCTGTGCATTTTGTCATTAATCCTTAGTATATCTTGAGATATGATAAAGTAGGTTACTACAAAAGTCTATTTTTGAAACTGTGATGAGATTAACTCATGTAGATATATTGATAGAAACAAAAAGAAAACTTGCTTAATTACATATATTTTTTCCAGCTTTTTGACAGGATAGTATAGGCAAATACCTCTTCAGAAATATTCAATTCATACACAGATAATTGTATTTGTTCATTTAATAGCTAGATCATATCTGAATTTCAAAAATATTGTTGTCATAAAAGTGCATTATACAGGGTCTATTTTTGTATCTAAGTAAGACATTAACCCAATAAGCTAAATGAACATATCAGTAAATTTGTTCAAAGAAAATTTTAGAATTTCCATATAGAAAAAAGCACTTACAAAGTAGAAACATAAACAACAAATGGGGTAAAAATATTTGAGTCACTTTTTACTAGACGATGGGTTAATTTCTTTGATATGTAAAGAGATCTTACAAATTGACTCAAGTAAGATAAACAATCATTAGACAAATGGGCCAAAGAATATAACAAGCAATTTATAGAGGAAGAAGTATAAATGAATATTAAGTGTGAAAAGTTGCTCAAGCTTCTAAAATAATTTAGATTAAACCAATTCTAAAATTCTCATTTTCTATATTAGGTTAGTAAAGATTGAAAAAATTGATAATACCCAGTATCTATAAAGATATGAGAGAAAATGGGCTTTCCTCATTATTATTGCATTGGAAACATCTGTCAGTATTTAAAATACACATGTCATTTCCCAGCAGTTCAAAGTATGCAGAGGATATACAAACTAAAGAATATTCGTTGCTACATTTTTTTAATAGCAGAAACAAATTAGAAGCAACCAACATATTCATTAATGGAAATCTGATGGTTTACAACAAAAGGAGAACCAACCAGTTGTAGAAAAGAACGAGGTGGCTTTATATGTAATGACATAGAAAGAGATTCATGATATGTTATATTTTTTAAAAAATCATCTTCTTTCTTTTTATATTGTGTCTGATCGTGTTTGTGTGTGAATAGAAAATATCAGCAAAAATATGCACAAAACTGTATAAGGTGACTATCTTTTAGAATTGCCATTGTTAGGAAGAGGAGGATTGGGAGAATCATGTTGTCAATTGCTTACTATTTTTAATAACAAGCATGTATTACATCTATATCTAAAATAAAATTATGTATTATATAATATCTACCAAACTTAGAAATTAAGAATTATATTTGCATATTTATAAATGAAGAATTATAGCAACATTTTTCTGGTTTGTTTTGTATTTAGGTATCAAAATATGAACGTTAATTTACAGAAAGTGAAGCTGGAGATTGTGCATAAATGAATGATTATACTCTTAAGATTTGAAACATCTTTCAAAATCATAACCTGACTGAATGAGTAATATGTTATATCAAGCATATTGAAGTAGTTTTATTACTAGGGAAGAAAACATTTATTAATCATCCAATCCACATTATATCAAATTTCATTGGTTATTAGCATATTTCATTAAAATTATGTTGAGTTCAGGAATAGAAATTTAATTAAGTGGGACTGAACAATATCTTCATATTATACCAAGGACACTTTGAATCCATGAAAAGAGACAGTAAAGCAATTTTCTTAAAAGCAACAGATACAAAGTTTTTCATTATTTATATCTCAAAATATTTAATTTTTAAGTTTTTCTTTTTATGCAGGTTATCTTATAAAAAAGTATATTTATAGTTTATCTTTTAAAAAATTTTATTATACTTTACGTATAAATTTGTGAAAACTATAAGCTGAAATATGAATTAGATGTGTATAGTAAGTTTATTTTACATTATGGAATCCAATTTGTCACAGGTTTCGTCTTGATATATATCGATGTTTGGCCAGTCCAGCTCTAATAATGTTAACAGAGGAGGATCCAATTCTGCGAGCATTTGAACTTAGTGCTGATTTAAAAGAACTAAGCCTTGTGGAGGTGGAATTCAGGTAGGAATGAATGGAAATTGTAAATTATATAATTTTTTTTCAGTTCTTCAACCTGAGTCCCTTCATTTGCCAAATTATAATTTATATTTATTTGCATTTGATCCAAGATGACCACACTTTGTTGCCATTTATGTAATCTTATAATCTGAGTTCTAAGTAATCATTTAAAATAAAAGTTATTCATCTCTTTCCAAAAAGCATATGAAGCATTGTTATGGTTATATAATCATAGAATAAAAAATTAGATTTGCTTCAGCCTAGTGTTTTTATAGATAGGGAAATAGATTTATAAATGCTTGATGTTTTACAAATATAAGCATCTACTTAGGAACAAAGTTGAAACTGAAAGTAAGAGTAAAATTGTAAGTAATTTTGCCTCTGGTCTACTTGTTTCTGGTCTACTATATTTCCATCTAAACTGTACAGCCACTTATTTGTCTTCTAAAAATCTATTAGAGATGAGACAAATTAGATTAATAAAATGTATTAATTTTACCTTTGAATCTAGTGTTCCATCAAATGTTTATCTAAAGATAGGATATCTTTGGCTCTTTGGCCATTGCTTTGCTAAACTCTGGCCTGGCCACATGGCTCTTTGAGTTATGTTGGCCATGTTTCCTAGATTTGGCCCTCTCCCTTATTTTGGGGAGGTGAATCTCCTCACTATTCTCTTTCTCTCTCTCTCTCCAATTTACTTTCTAAATAAACTGTATTTTCCAATTTAAAAAATAAAAAATAATGATGGGATAGCTATGTAATAATATACCCTTTTGTGTTTTTTGTTTGTTTTTGAGTCATGATCTCACTGTGTCACCCAAGCTGGAGTGCAGTGGCATGATCAGGGCTCACTGTAGCCTTGATCTCCTAGGCTTAGATGTTCTTTCCACCTCAGCCTCTTGAGTACCTGTGACTACAGATGCGTACTATCATGCCCGGCTAACTTTAATTTTTTATAGCAACAAGATCTCACTATGTTGCCTAGACTGGTCTTGTACTCCTCAAGTTCTCCCACCTAGACCTTCCAAAGTGCTAGGATTACAGGCATAAGTCACTATACCTGGCCTAATAATATACACTTTTGATAAACATTCCCATCTGCAATTTGACTCCTAAACTAAGAAGCAGCTATTTATTTTCAGGTAGTTTTGGTTTCATAGTAAATGCAAAGAATGAGTGACAAAAATGTTAACCTTTAAGGAAAAGAAGTTTTTATTCTTTGAGTTATAATTTTATGTAGCCAGTTCATGGAAACCCCATTGTATAGAAAGACTAACCAGTGGGAAATCTTCCTGTTTCTTTTTCCTTTTTGGAGGGATGGGGGGAAGAGGAATAAAAATTTATTTTCTGAAGTCCAACTCCAGGATCATGATTTATAACTATTTATTTCTGACTTCATTCTTAAGTTATTAAACTCAGTCATAAATTTAATGTAATTGATGTTTTTACAAGGAATTATATTTATCAAAAATTAATTGAGGCCTGCCTTTCATAAGCAATTCAGCCCTAAGACTCAAGCAATAGTGATTCCAAAAGAGTTCTTTGTTAGGTGTATTTTAGTATGTTTCTCATTTGAATTTCATTAAAATTAGCACTTTAAATCAATCAAAATGCTATTTTAATATTAGAAGTAGCATAAACATATTGTAGGCTATTATTGAAAAAACTAGTTAAAAATTATATGATAATCATGATTGAGTAACATTAAGATATTATTTCTATTGTTTAGTTGAATAAAAGGAAGTTTTAACCAAACTTATAGAGAATAAGGGAAAATGAGTTAAGTGAAGAACAGGTTGACCAATATTAGAATTTCTAGGAATATTGGTATTTATACAGGAACATTGCTCTCGTCTAAGATTTATCAGTATGCACTCAGGAAACATAATTGTGTTATGGTTTTCCCCAAGGTTGTGCAGAATTTATGCACTGGTAGTTTACTTTGATTGTCTGCAAAAAATGACTTCAGATTTTAAGTTGTAATGTCGTAATTAAAATGTTGCTGAGTAAAAAATTTTCTAGTGAATATAGTTTATTTAGAAGATGAAAGTGACATTTCTAATAATAGACTACTGTTATTTTGTAGGAATGATTATGAGGAACTAGCCCGGCAATGTAAAATGTTTGCTAAAGATTTGCTTGCTCAAGCCCGGAATTCACGTGAATTGGAAGTTATTCTAAACCATACATCTAGTGATGAGCCTCTTGACAAACGGGGATTACTAGAAGAAAGAATGAATTTAAGTCGTCTAAAACTTGCTATCAAATATAACCAAAAAGAGGTATGACACTTTCTATGATATATTTAAGTTAGTTAGTTAGCCCCTACAGTAGTCTAGGGACTCAGAGCAAAGGCTTTGGAGTAACACATCTGTGTTGAGATCCTAGTTCTGCTTCATAACACAATTGTATGTCTTGGGAAAGTTGTTGAATCTGTCTGAGCTTTAACTTAAGAATTAATTAAGAATATATACTTGAAGTGTTTAGCACAGTGAGTACTAGCATTAATCAAGTACTCAGTAAATGACAGTTACTATATAGTAGTTATTATTAAGTATAGTAACAATATGGATGTTGATTTAATGTTTTTGCTAAATAGAAGCTACACAGGTCAGATCGTGAGATCCTGTGCAATAGATGCCTTTATAAGGAAGTTTCCATCTGTGCTTTGTCTGCTATAGGTGTATTTTACTGACCTGATTATAAATTGCCCCTTCTATAGTAATAGTGATTTCTATTTAAAAATAAATTACCAGATATTCTATTTCCAGATTCTTCCTATTTGTAATTCATTGTGAAAGGTAGAAAGGCACATGATATGACAACTAAGTTGAATATGACTCTTCTGGCATTATCCCTTCCTATTAAAGGAAATACACATTTCTAGTCCCCATACACATATATACACATGATTCAGGAACTTGAATGGGAAGATATGCATTCTAAACTTCATTTTTTGAGATAATTTACTGAACAGGTGGTATTTATATGTAGCTAGTAGTATCTAATTGATAGTGTGGGATGTTGGTAAATGGTACTTATTAGGTGTTATTTCTGTTACCCATTATTTTCATTATCAATATAGGTATTGAAATAAAATTTGCTTATCAAATTTATGTAATTACAAAAATGGGGCCTGAAGTAGATAATGATAGAAAGCAAGATGTAGTATGTCTGGTGCAAAAAGCAGACTTTTTTTCTTGGTTGAAAATTTGAGCTTCACATAGCTATTAGGAGACTGATAAAGGAATTATAAATGTTTAAAACATTTAGGTTACCTAGATAGTATATTGCTTCTCTAAGTCTTTAACTTCAAATCCTAGACTTTTCTGCTACTCCAAGGTTTTTGCTCAAGGTGGAACATTTATAGGAAAAAAGTTCTAGAATTCAGATGAATGTAGATATAATATTATAAATTATCAACATACCCATACCTAGGTAGCATAAAAAGGAAATACAATGCTAATGTGTATACATATAAACAGAAAATATAGGAACCCTGATGTCATCTTCCTCAAATCATATGTTTTGACTAGATCTTATGTTAATATAGTCTATGTTCCACAACCAAAAATGGACATGAAGTACTAGAAAATGATAGAATAAAGGGATAATGAGACATAAAATCAATTTAAGTAATTGACAAAAAGAACCTCGAAGAAAGGTGTAAAGAACCAAGATTATCCTAGTTAGAAAAGAAAAATCTAATAAGCATTTCCTAATGATATCTATATCCCTGAAGGAATCACACATGTTAACCAAATGTTCAGTTCTAAAGAAGGTGAAAGAATAGGTAACAAGAAGTAGTAGTCACATTTGTTAGTTGCAAGGAAGATACTTTAAAATTTTAAGAATGAATAAAAGTGTAAAGTAATTTTTTAAACTAGATTGCTAAATATGATCAAAGGGAAAGATAATATTTTCTCAACCACTTGGTAAGCTTTGCTCAGGTTATCAGTCCTAAATAGCAAACTACCCTGAAACTTCATGGCATAAAATGGCATTTCATAATTACTTTATAATAATTTTATAATCATTTTATTGTGCTCTTGAATTCCATAGGTCAGAGATTAGGAAAGGGCATGGCAATCATGATATATCTCTGTTTCCCCTATCTGGGGACTCAGCTGGAGACAACTCAGATGACAGGGCTATAATCATCTGGAGGCATCTCTACTCACATCTGGTATCCAAGCAACAACTGAGGACTCCGGACCAAGGAGGTCTGAGTGGCCTGGATACTCGATGAGTGAGTCCACAGAAGGTGGGGCTCCTAAGAGCTCACAGCTGAAACCATGGAGAAGCATGGCCATCATGGTGGGCAGACTTTGAGGAAGTGGTTGCAAAAGATTTTGAAGGCCGACTGGGGTGTCTGCATGCAGCCCCTTACAGCATGATAGCTTCAGGGCAATAGGACTTCTTATATGTCAGTTCATAGCTCCAAGAACAAGTGTTCCAGTGAACAAGGTGGAAGATGCATAGCCTTTTACCCTCAGAAGTCACATAGCATCACTTCTGCTAGAATCCACTAGTTAAAACAACCAAAAACCTATTGAATTGAAGGGTATGGAACTTTGACATCCTCTAGATGATAGGAAGAAAAAAATTGTGTCCATGTTTCACTGAAGACTTGGAATATTTCTAATTGAATTTTTTTCCCAAATACAAATGTAACACTATTGTTAATTAAATCATCATTCTATAGAGGGATGGAAAGGACAGTAATCAGTCCTGAGATTGCTTTGATATTTGGGAGAAGGGTAAAACTACTAAATTCAGGATGCTACTAAACTGGGTATTTGGTAGGAGGAAAAACTGTCTCTCTCCAGGGTACTTTTCCTTGAGAAACAAATTAAGATTCCCCAAGAACACTGGAGTTTGAGCAGAAGAATAAAGAATGAAGTAAGACTTTATTGCCAAAATAAGTACAGTTGTCCATCAGTATACATGGGAGATTGGTTCCAGATCCTCTGTGAATTCCAATATCCATAGAGGCTCAAGTCCTTGATATAAACTGGTGTAGTGGTTGCGTATAATCTACACACATCTACCTGTAGACATTAAATCATCTCTAGGTTATTTATAATTCCTAATACAATGTCTACACATTACTGCATTCACATGGGTTCAGCATAATACTCAGACTGAGGAAGTTTTTTGGAACTTTGCAGAATCTCTTTTTTTCTGAGTATTTTCAATTCATGGTTGATTGAATCCATAGGTGCAGAACCTACAGATACAGAGGGCTGACTGTATAGTATATTAGAAATGTCTTTGATAAACACAATAAATAACAAAATAAATAACAAAACTCTGTCCAGTTCACTACAATTTCACTACAAAATTATATTTTACAAATTATATTCTATGTCAGGATAAGTCTTTTCAAATCAGAAGATTGACCAAATACTATTTTATATTACCTTAGTAATATTGTTTTATAATAATAGCTTCAAACCTGATCATATTATTAAAGACACTGTTATAAGAACCCTTAAGTTATACTTCACAATGGGAGCATTATATTGGAAAAATATTGCCTATGAAATTTGCAAACTAAGAACCTTTGTAAACTTTGGTAAATTAATTTCTGTATTTGAACTAGAATTTTTCTCATATTTGGAAATATTTTCCCTTTTCTTCTCACACAAAATTCAGTTGTAAACGTGCCTAAGAGAATCTTCAATGTTGTTTAAGAATTTCTCAGTGTTTTCCTGGAGCATAAATAGATCTAATATTTAACCTTTGATTGTTTTTGCTACCTTGCCATCTTGGTTTCTTGTAACTAAAATCTGCAGCTTCTCTAGACTGAAGACATCCAAACAGTAACGGTGTCTTTTTCTATGGATTGTGTATGTTAACTTTGAAATTTCATAAATATTATTGTAAGAGTTTTTGTAAATTAAATGTGACATAATGGCTAATGGGCTAATAATAATAATAGTTAATACTTATATAATACATGCTATGAGCCAGGGACTATTCTAAGAGCTTTGCATTTAATTCTAACAACTTTATGAGTAGATTGTATTATTATCCCCATTCTACAGATGGATAAAGAGGCTTAGAGAAATTTAAAAACTTACTCAAGTTATTTAGTAACACTCTGAATGTGAATCTAGGTAACCTGGCTCCAGAGTATGTGCTCTTAATCTGTACGTTCTTTTATTACTTGTAAAAAAAAGGGGAAAAAGTCAATATTCATTGTATAGAATTGATTTTTAAACTAGTATTAAAACTTTGAATATCAATTAATCAGTATTTAAAGGTTTTATTTTACTTTTTTCTTTTTAATGTGTGTGTATGTCTTTTCAGTTTGTCTCCCAGTCTAACTGCCAGCAATTCCTGAACACTGTTTGGTTTGGACAGATGTCAGGTTACCGACGTAAGCCTACCTGTAAGAAGATAATGACTGTTTTGACAGTAGGCATATTTTGGCCAGTTTTGTCACTTTGTTATTTGATAGCTCCCAAATCTCAATTTGGCAGAATCATTCACACACCTTTTATGAAATTTATTATTCATGGAGCATCATATTTCACATTCCTGCTGTTACTAAATCTATACTCTCTTGTCTACAATGAAGATAAGAAAAACACAATGGGACCAGCCCTTGAAAGAATAGACTATCTTCTTATATTGTGGATTATTGGTAAGTATCAAGTTAGTTTGAAAGGTTTTGCCTTTATTTAGCCTATTAGTTCTCCCTTGCTTGATGGCATTATGAACACTGAGTTCATTTTGTAATTTTACACTGGTCACACCGCAAGAACTTTAACACTTGCATGGTCATTGAAAACTTAACACTTTTGTAAAGATAAATGTTCCTAAACTTGATGATAAGAAAGCATATATCTTATTCAATTTTTTTAAATATATGGAAGTTAAAAATTCTTTATTCTCAGACTCTACGGTTGTTCATGAGTGCTTTTTTTGGTCTAAGAGTATGAGCTCTTCCTAGGTATTTTGAAACTTGATATGTTTTATATTCCTCTGCTTCTTGACAGTTGCCTATTCTGTTTCATTATAAGATTAGTTTTCCTTTTAAGAACTTATAAACTTGTGTAATTATATCTTACTTTATCTCTATTATAGAAACATTATTTAAATTTAAAGGGGTCTCTGGTGATGCACTGCTTAGATCGGTTCTTTGTAATATAGCTAAATTTCTTTAGAAATAACAGATATTTTTAAAGTATACGACATTTTATTTCTGAATTTTATTTTTTATTATGCTGTATTGCTACAGTTTTTACTCACCTCACCCTTTTGTATGTATGGTTAGGGGGGTTGAGATGGAATTGCATTATCTGTTTATAGTATTTTAAAGACATTTCCCTTATTTCCCTCTGTATTTTCAACCTTGTTTTTAACCTCAACATTTTCCATCTGTCCATCTATTATTTGCTTTAGAGTAAAAGGATATTGAAATTTAGTCTTTTCTATGGTATGTAGTACTAATTGTATTTATCTTTTGATAAAGACATTCTTTATTGTTCTGAATATTAAATGGGTTGAGAAGATTTAATTTACAGTGTTCAATTTCTTTTCTCCTTCTGCTATAAAAATAACTTATATTTTGACATTTTTATTTGAAAAATCAGTTAATTTCAATTAACTTGGTTTCAGTTTTTCTTTTAGCAGTATTTAATCTATGAATAATTAATATTTAAAATTAGATGAAGTAAAAATATACATCTAAACTCTAGGCTAAAAAGAGTTAAGTAATTCCTTATTGTTAATATTTTCTTGTTAACTGTGGGTCTTTTCAACATGAAGTTTGTTTATATTGTTTTTTGAATAGTTAAAAATATATTAGTTTGAAAAGGCTATCAAGGAAACACTTTCCCTCTATTCATTTCAACTATTTCTGAAAGATTACTATATATACCTTAGTCTTAACAAAATGAAACTTTATGTCATTTATCTATAACCCATTGTTTAAGTAGTAGTAAAAAATAATATTTTCTGTGTTTTGTAAATAAGATTGAGTTTATTCAAGTCTGTGTAAGAATCAAATTAAAGTTTATATGTCTTAACAGTGAGTAAAAACTCACCAAAGTCAAATAGACATGTCACCCTTTGGATAGCATAAATATTGTTGCTGATTTTCATAATGATGGTAAAATCAGGGTTATTCCCTTTTAAGAATAATAGCCCAGTTTTCAACATAATGTGTGTACACATATGTAACCCCCCCAATATGATTGATTTTCTAACCATATTCTGCTTCACTAGAAGAATGCATGTAAATTAAGCCAGTAAAATTTCTAGAAGTGTTTTACTTCCCTCATCTTCTGCTCTGTAGTAATTCTATCTGAACAAACCTACCCAAAGATGTTCTCTTAAACCTATTATGTAGTTAGATCTCTCTGGGCTTTCTTCAATATATAGATCCAAAACTGCTCTAAATGAGCATGTAGGGATCGTTTGCTTACTTGCCTACAGGCACTTCTTAGTTCAATTTATTATTTCAAGCAACGAGCACAGTGACTTTTTACTCTGATGTCCAAATTTTGTATATTTGTTTTCTGTTTCCTTTTGTTAACTTTTCAGGTAAAAATAGAATCAAATTATAAAAAGCAAGGTAGGTAGAAAGGAAACAATTTGTTGATTAAAGCTCAGAACAGCTATTATTAAAATGTATTTTTTAAATGTCATGTACCTACTTTGTCCAGGCACGGATAGGAGCAGATATGGTCCTTACATCCCTGCACTCATGGAGCTTATAGTTTAATAAAGGCAAAAAAATCCACAAAACATTAACTTGAGAATCACACAGATAAATAAAAAATCACAAATGGGTCAAGTGCCATTAAGTAAAGGTCATGGTGCTAGGAAAGCAAGCATGTTATAAGGGCTTTTGACCTAATCAGGGAGGTTGAGAAATATATTCTTCAGAAATATATTCTGAAGTAGCAATTAGTTAAATCTAAAAGGTAAATAGGCATCAACTTGGAGAATAGAGAGAGAAAAATACTCTGGGTTGAGATTCAGAAGCCCATTGGCAAGAGAGAGCATGGTGCAAAGAAGGGGCTGAGTAAAGGCTACCATAAGGAAAAAGGAGAACAAGAGGAGCTTGATTCAAAATCAAGCTGTGGAAACATTTTAGACTGTGCAAGGACATATAGCCCAGGTTAGCTAATTTTGACTTATACAAAAACAATGGAAAACCATTAAAGTTTTTAAGTAGGCAAGAGACATGATCAGTTTTGCCTTTTGAAAAGCTTATTCTGTCTACAGAGTGAAGAATGTGCTAGGAGGATAGGGCTGTGGCTAGAGGAGATGGAGGGAGACCAATACAGAAGTTTTACAGTAATCCAGACGAGAGCTGGTGATTCCTTGGACTTAGGGTGATTTTGATAAAGAGAGAAGGTAACAGAATTGAGAGATATTTACAAGGAAGGTAAGGCCAATCGGACATGGGAATACGTAGTATTTTAGAGGTGAAAGAAAGGGAGACTATTAAACAACAGAGGCATTTTGGAAGAGTTTTAGGTTTGGTGATTTGTGGGAGGGCAGATCCTGAATATAATTTTGGATATGTTGAGTTTGAAAAGTCTTTGAGGTATCCAAGAGAGATGTTAAGCAGACAGCTGGTCTGGAGCTTAAGAGGAAGTCCAAGCTTGAGTTAGAAATGTGTGAATATCTGAATATAGGTGGTATGTGAAACTATGGACATGGAAAAGACGCCAGGAGAAAGTGTAAAATGAGAAGATGAGAGAACCTAAGACCAAGCCTTGAGAAATTCGAAAAATGGCTAGAATTGTTGCTTATTAATGTTATTTACTAATTCTAAAAAAAAAAAAGACCCTAAAACATAAAATGTTGATTATGTACTGATTGCATTTCTTATAATAGTTTAAATTATTTTGTTCTTTTCAATCCAGTATAGAAATATAAAATACATCAAGCAAATTAGCTTCATTTCAGTGGGGGTGTTGCATTGGAGATGGAAAACTACCTGACAGTGGTTCTCACTGTACTTTCCTATGTCTGCCTTTTTTGGTCAACAATCTTCTCCGTATTCACGTTGTAACTTTTGGTTAAGAGTTTTTTTTTAGTATAATATTGCACTTTACAGAAATAAGTACTTGTTTCTACAAGCATCTTTCTTAGTTTAGTGTTTTAATATTAACAGGAATGTGTCTAAAGTTTAAATATGAGTGTTTGAAGATGCTTCATAAATAAGGATTTGCACACTATTGTATATCAGGATCTAGGATTGGACAGTAATTTTTTTTTTTTTGAGTTGGAATCTCACTCGGACAGTAATTTGAGTCTTCAAGAAAGTATTATCATGGAAGATTTGTTTAATATGTTTCTGCCCCATATCTTCTAGAGCTGCGTGAAGGCTGAACATGATAAATATGCAGAAAGCTTTCATCCCCACTGCTTCTCCCAATAAAAGAAAATAATATTTGAGTTAATAAAATATTACCTGCTAGACTATTTCATTAACACTTTTAGACAGTTTATTCATTTTGAGTAAAATCTCATCCAAATGGATTTTTTAAAGTGTTTTTCCTGTTAGATCTGTAAAAACTTTACTTTTTTTCTACATAAAATATGGATACTGCATCATTAAGATGTGATGAACAGAGGTTTTCAAGAATGTTTTATGTACTTCCCCGGGGAATTATTCTGCCTACTGGTAAGCCAGAGAATGATTCTCATCTCCTCCCATGTGTTATGCTGCAGCAAGACTTCCATGTCCTACTTTATATTCTCCCTAAAAATGTATTAATGAAATTATATACCATAAAACTATCCTGGTTTATGCTCCTGACTGTCTGGTACTAATAGAAATACATAATCATGGAGGAACTTTTGACCTAACAAGGGGAAGGGTTTTTGTTTGTTTGGTTGGGTTTGGTTTTCATTTACAAAAATTTTAACACCCTCTTTGTATCAGGCACTATTCAGTGCATTTGGGACACTGGTAATACAACAAAGATTCTAGAACTCTTGAAGAGCCTATCCAAAGTAGAGGAATGACAGTCAATTAAAAATAGACCTAATAAATAAATTATATTTGTGTTAGAAAGTGATAAGTACTGTAAAAGCAGAGTTAGAGGGATTGGGAGTAGTGACCATGGAGCTTGCAATTTTAAATAGGTAGTCAGGGAGATGCAAGCAAAGACATATCTCTCTGTGGAAGGGGGGGAGCACACCTCATCAACAAGGGTACCTGCATAATGAATATTTATATACCTAACCCTTAACTGTACCCTGTTGGTGACCAGCACTGACCAAGGGTGGATTAGGACCTGCACCAGAGAATCTGGGGACGGCGAGAAGAGACCACTTGGAGGCAGTTCTTCTGGGAACAGTCTGATCAGGACTGAAGCCAAATTTTATTCGGACTCCTTCCAACTTATATACCATTTTCTATACCCTCCATCAGTGTGATAATCACTTGCTGGGGGCGTACAAGTTCCGTGCTTTACAAACTATGCATCACAAGACCACCACGAGATCTGCAATTTCCAAGCAAACAATTCAAATTCCATTAAGGTCACAGGTGCACAATTTCAATACAAATCGTTCAAAGTGTTTTCCATAATGTTCAATAAATCATTCATATTATACTCTTTGTTCTAAACCCTGATTAATACAAAAACTTTCTAAGTTAACTCTAGGTTCAATCCAAGTTCACTGACTCCTAATATTTTTTAAAGGTTGATATTATCAACTTATTAGCACTATAATCTATAAGTTTACTTAAATGACTTAATTTTTATTTATTCCATTAACCTATTATGACTCAACATAGTGCCCTGTAATTCTATAACAATTAATTCAAATCTTATTCCTTACCATGACTTATATGAGTTTCATAAACCTAAACTTTAATTTTTATATGATCTAGTGATTGGACTTTAACCCAAAACTTAAATCTTTTTTCCTAGTACATTAATACATGGCTACGTGTAAAATTTCCTATTGTCATATTAGAAACAAAAACAGCACCGTTGAGAAAATTTCGGTATACTAATCAAAGGATCTTAAAATTGGCCTACAGGAACAGGAACTAAAGTCATAGTCTGAGAAAAGGAAACTTAAAAGCTTAAACAAAACTTAAAAGTTTTCTATGAATGCTTATTACTGTTTAAATCTTTTCGATGGAAATTGTATCGTCTTAAATGTATGTTTTATTCAAACAAGTCTATTCTAAAAATCAAATAGTAGCTGTCACACTCTTGGATAATGGGCTGCACGGTTACCATGACAATGACCACGGGCTGAAGCAAAGGAGTTTCGGCATGTAACGAAACTAGAAAAACGTCCTGCCTGGCTAGAGGCAGGGCAATAAAACTATTATGGTAACTTAGTTTCTAATCTTAATCCTAGGAGAAACTGCCTTTGGGAACAAGAGCTAACTAACCAGTCTACCAGGAAATAGAAGTTAAAAAATATCTAGAAAGAAGTAAAACTTAGAAGGGACAAGGTCATAAAAAATAATTCTGCTATGCAACTTTCTATCAGGTGTATAGAGATTTACTTATAAGTTTTACTGCCATGTATGCACACTGGTCACTAATCATACGCCAATATTATAGGTATAACTGATATCCTATGTCAGAGGCGATCTTCCAGATGGGCCTTTACAGGCCTCAGCCATGTAGCTATAGATGTTGACTCCCAACAGTACCCCACAATTTTAAAATAAAAAATACATATAATTTAAAAAAAAAAGAAAAAGTGAGGTCATTAATCAAGTGGATGTATCTGGGTGAGAATCCTCCAGCCAGAAGGAAAAGCCAATGTAAAGGGCCTGAGGGCAGGAGTCATGTGTATTAAAAGAACAGCAAATAAGCAATGAGGTCAGTGTGACTAGAGTGACTAGAAGAAAAGACAGTAGGAGATGAGTCAGAGAAGATCGGTAATGTGGAACCTTGGAGATCATTGTAAAGATTGACTTGACTCTTAATGAAGTAGGATTTAAGGAAAACTGCAAGGCCCACTATGTGCAGTCAGCAGCAGTGGTCTTGATTTCTCGGATATTCTCAGGACACAAAAAGCTGAAAACTGGCACCAGTTAACTTAGCTTTGTAGGATACAAGACGGGAAATGGCATGTCAGCTGACAGCGTCAAGCTTCAAATATATCTTTGGGAGACCTTACAAAAGACTTGGACTGCTTCTCAGCCCCTTAGTGGGTATTCTCAGTTGTATGGGATGAGGCCACATGGATAGGTACGGGTTACCCCAGCAGGAACTATATCTTACAGGCCCCAAGAGTATAGTCCCATTACAGGCACACCCTGAGTTAAGAGAGACGTCACACAGAGAGACTGAAGCCTGTGTCTCTCAACGTGTTTTTACAGTCCTGGTTATATCCCTTTAGGGACTGTGAGTTCACTCATAGTCCTCCCAGTCCAGTTTCCCTGTCTGGTTGTTTTTTCAATGATGATGAACACAAGTGATCTTCCATTTGTTTCTTAACATAGTACATCTTTAAGGAAACCACTATAGTAGGAGATAACATGAGGTTATGTTTTCATGGAGAAACAGTTGGATCTGCTGTTAATTTTTTCTCCTCTGGGAGCTTCTAAAAGGATTCTAAAGTAGCATTTACATTTTAAAAAGGATTTCTGTGGTTGCTGTGTTGAGAATAGACATTAGGTAGATCAGAGTAGAAGCAGAGAGACCAGGTAGCTGTTTCAGTAATTCAGGCAAAAAAGGAGGGTGGCTTGAAGTTGCAGTGGTTATGAGAGTGGCAAGATCCTAAATATATGTAATTTGAAAGCAGAAATAGCAGGATTTGCTTCAGCATTGAATGTGGAGTTTAAAAGAAATACATGAGTCCTAGTAATTCAAGGACACTTAGATTGAACAACTAGAAGGATAGAGTTCCGGTCAGTTGAGATGGGAAAGTCTGCAAATGTAGTGGATTTGGGGGCAAAGCTTAGGAATTCAGTTTGGATAGGGTAGGACATCCAATTGGAGATGTACAGTAGCCAGTGCCTATATAAGTTGGTTAGGAGAAAGGTTTAGAGATCCAAATTATTATATAAATATAGATTGAGTTTACATATACAGATTTGAGAGCCTTTGCATGTAGGTGATATTTAAAGCCATGAGATTGGATGAGATCATTAAAGTAGTAAGTGTAGGTAAAGAAAGGGATCAGGCACTGAGCCTCTTGAGGAGTGTGTGTGTGTGTGTGTGTGTGTGTGTGTGTGTGTGTGTGTGTGTGTGTGTGTGTGAGCATCAGTTTGTTTGGCTTTTTATGCTTGTTTCACATCACTTAAAATCCTTTTCTGGCAAAGATTAAACTTAAGGTTATTTCTTGAAGTCATAGGAAAGTTAAGGTTAGTTTCTTTCAAATTTTAGGAACTTTTTACTGGAAAGTTCTTGTTTTTCTTTTTCTTTTGAATAATGCTTTAGCTGGCCCAGTGGTTATTTAATACTTGGTGGAGACTTAACGTATTATTTCATTTAATATTGAGTTAGGAAAGTATTTTCTGATTTTTTTCTTCTTTTTTTTAGGAATGATTTGGTCAGACATTAAAAGACTCTGGTATGAAGGGTTGGAAGACTTTTTAGAAGAATCTCGTAATCAACTCAGTTTTGTCATGAATTCCCTTTATTTGGCAACCTTTGCCCTGAAAGTGGTTGCGCATAACAAGGTGATTATTTACTATGTCAATTGAAGGCACATATTAAGTTTATTTTGAAAATGCGTAAGATAACTATCTTAGGTATTTATAGCTATGTAAATATGTCATAGCTATGTAATTCAGAATTACATAGAGCCAAATTGTTGTCTGGTGTTCTTTTCTTTTAAACCTATCTGTGTGCACATAATTTCCTACCTTTTCAGTAGTTTAAAAGATATTACTTACATTTACATGATGGTTACCTAGTCTGTGACAGTATATTGGTATTTAGTATACTTTATCTCATTGCATCTTCACAGGGATTCTATGAAACACAGATCCTTATCCCCATTTTGCAAATAAGAAAAATGAAGCTTAGTCCAAATATATAGTAAGAAATCAAAACTGGATTTAAAGCCAGGTCTTTCTAGGCATTTTCTTTCTTCCAGATATCAATTCCTTATATCTGAGGTAGGTTATTTTAGCTCATTAACCTGTATATACTTAAAATGAGGATACAACATAAATGATCTTTATATCTACCAGAAAGAGTTTATCTGAACGGAATTTATTACATATTATTTTATACATGCTTAGTCCTGATCATTAATTTTAATAGCTTAAAAGTAATATATTTATAATCATTTTACCAACTTTATATTTTTATTTAGAATTTGACAAAAATCTTGCCATATAAACATCTTATAACTTTGTTGTCCTCAACAGTTAAGCTTCCCCAAGTCCAGAAAGGTTAATAAATTTTATTTTAACATCTTTGTTTAAACCCTGAGTTTGGAATTCTTCTAGAATGTCACATTTAAGAACTAAAAGTGTAATACCCTCTGTCTTTTGACTAATTTATAGATTATAGAAAAAGCAAGCTGATTTTCTTATATCATTTTACTTAGTTAAAAAATGCATTCCTTTAATTAGTCAGCAGTATGGAAGATTGGTCTCTTTAATTCTACAAGTGGGGTGCTAATATAATTTATTATCCAAATCAGGACATTTTGAGAGTGAAAGGGGGAATTATTAATAACTATGTCATGACTGGGTGTGGTGACTCACCCCTGTAATCTCAGCACTTTGGGAGGCCAAGACGGGAGGATTGTTTGAACCCAGGACAAGTCCTAGGCTACATAGGAAGACCTTATCTCTACAAAAAAATCAAAAAAGTTGCCGGGTGTGGTGATGCACTTGTAGCCCCAACTACTCAGGAGGCTGAGGTAGAAGGATAGCCTGAGCTCAGAAAGTCAAGGCTACAGTGAGTTGTGATTGTGCCACTATACTCCAACCTGGGCTATAGAGTGAGACCCTGATTCAAAAGAATAATAATAATTATTATTACTATTATGCCAGATAACTGGTATATAATGTCCTACTTCTCTCCAAAATTGGGACTCTCTTTCTCAGTACAATAATGTCCTCTTTTTATTTTGTATTTAAAAGGGAAAAATTTTGTCTATGGTTTATTCTAGAATTTAGAGTCAAGGGACAAGGTTAATTTAATATGATAATGAATTAATCGATAGCACGTGCATTTAAAAGTTTGTGTGGTAGAATTTAAGAAAATTAGCCAACAATTTATTTATAAAAAGTTTAATGATAATTTTTTTAAAGTTTAATTTTCTGAAATCTCAGAATTCTGGGAAAACCTCTTCATATAGAGTGATATTGCTTCACATACATAGAAATCATAGAAATTTAATTAAAACAATATTTCTACTAAAAAAGGAGAAGTCTATACAACAGGTGGAAATCCCCTACAAAAAGACAAAATAAAAATAGCTTTCTTTCAATACTCAGAATATTTGTTTTTATTTGTCTAAATTGAGAGAGCTTATTTACATTGGCTTTTTCTTCCTAACCTTAGTTTCATGATTTTGCTGACCGGAAGGATTGGGATGCATTCCATCCTACACTGGTGGCAGAAGGGCTTTTTGCATTTGCAAATGTTCTGAGTTACCTTCGTCTCTTTTTTATGTATACAACCAGCTCTATCTTGGGTCCATTACAGGTAAGTGATTAAAATTTCTTCAAGAACATTTGTTTGATGTCATTATTGTTACATCTTTCTCCTTATTTACTGGAACATTGTTCTCTTGTGATGTTAAAGCTAAACTTTGATTTTGAAAATAATTATCAATTAGAAGGACATGGAGTGTTTATTTACTTTACTTCTGGCTCAGTGATAATACTTTGCTTTCAGCTACTCATAGTTTATTAATCTGTGGTCCATTGGCCTCCTCTCCCACACCGTGGACATAGACTATATGTTTAAAGTATAGTTACACTTCAGACACAGAGTAATATAAAAATCTGCTTTTCATCAAAATGAATCTCACATTTACAGTTTTAAATGTTTTAAGTTATAAGAAGGACCTATACAAACAAATATTTATGCTTGATGATTATTAAGCATGTAAGCTATATTTTAAAAAAGCTCTTTCACTTTTGTTAATAAATAGTAAATGTAATGAGTTAGAAAATAGCATATTTAGAGCTAAAAAATTTATAGAGGTTACATAGTTCAGCTTTATACTTTATAGTTAAAGAAATTGAACTTTTGAGATGGTATGTGATTTGTCCAAAGTAGTATGATTATGATGCATGAAAGTCCAAGACTAAATTCTTAGTCTCTTTACACCAAAGAAAGGACTCACAATTGGTTGAATTTACCTCCACGGAGTTTGGTAGTTGATTGTAGAAGGTAGATCACCTCTGCTAGCTCTATATAGTACTCTACCTTATAATTCTGAAAATCTGAACAATATTCATTTTTCCTTAATAGTCAAACTTTGCTAACAATTTAGATTGTCTTTTACATTTTTTAAAGGAGCTATTTTAAATAAAAGGCATAATTACCTTCTCCAAACAGGGATATGAAAATAAAATATATAGGAAAAACCTGATTTGATTAGGCTTGTGCTATCATCCTGCAACAGTGTTTCCTGAAGTATGGCTCTCTTAACCAAGTCCTGTGAGATGCTCTGAATTAAGTAAGTTTGGGACACACTGCATACTGTATACCTCTTTTGGGAATTCACAGTGCATGTTATCATATTAAAGCTTCTGAGAAAGAAATAAATACACTTGTTTAACCTTGTTTAAACCATCATTACCTAAATTCATTTAACCTCATCTGTTTTTCATGAAATATGTTCAAGTCTCTGTATTTCTCCAAAGTGTAGTATGTGAAGCACTAGCTTAAACTATGTGTTATTTCAATTTATTTTTGCCACTAATATTATCTATGAATGCTTTAAGAATCAACAATGTTTTTATATGCACATTGATATTTTTTTTTAAGCTAAAAATGGATGAGATGACTAAGTTTCTATACTGGAAATTTCTTTATGGACTTTGACAAAGGGTTAAAAAGGAGAAAGTGCAATATAGCTCAGGAACTAAGAGCCAATTTCTGACATCTATTTCCAACCAACATGAAGTAACAAAAATTGGATATGCCCTCCTGCCTGAAGCAATCAAAAAGGAAAAAAGTACAGACAAGATATATGAAAAAACAGTTTATAAGAAACTGGACATTAGGCAATAAAGAACAGTGATCTCTAAGAAACAAGAAATAACAATTGCCCTAGCTTATTGTCTTGTGATAATTTTCAGGCAGGGTACAGAGTGAATAAGTGCAGTCAGCACTTGGCAGAATTCTGGGTTTAGGAGACAGTTCTGAGAGTTCATTGAGACTGAGTTTGCAGGATGGGGTACTGGAGAGGACAGAGCTGTACGGAGAGAAAATTCTGGGAATTTTTAGCTATTCTCCCTTGTGTATTCTGCAGAGTACCGATTATCATATGCATGTGAAGACACTACCTGGGGCAGAGAAAGAAACATCTGACAGGATTAGTACTTAAGTTCATTCAGAGGATAGTGCCTGTTTATATTAGCCAAACTAGAAAAACTCCATTGGGTAGAGTACTCAGAAGGGTCTTGCCCCTCTAGTGGGGAATAGTTACCTCTAGACTACTCACTGCTGTGATTTCACCAAATAAAATTTAAAAAGCATAATCTGAAAGGATTAAACTGTTTCCAGGTAACTTAAATGTGTTCATTGACTTATCCAAAAGTGACACACATGTTATAATTATCAAATAAAGATTCAAAAACGATTATATTCCATATGTCCAAAAAGTTATGTAGAGACACGAAAGATGGAAAAAAGATCCAAATCAAATTTGTAGAGATTTAAATTGCAATATGTGGCATGAAACATGTACTGGATGTGATTAATGACAGATTAGACATTGTAGAAAAATACATTAGTGAATTTGAAAAGATAATCAAAGTTCTTCAAAATAAAAGGGAGAAAAAGAATTTTAAAATTAAAAAGAGCATCTGTCAACTTTGGGATAACTTCAGGTGGCTAACACACATGTAACTGGAGTCTCTGAAGAAAAGGAGAGACAAAAATTTTGAAGAAATAATAGCTGAAGAGTTTTCAAATTTGAGGAAAACTGTAAACCCACAGATCTAAGTTCATTAAACCTCAAACAAAAAAAAAAAAAAGAAAAAGAAAATCACACCAATGGGCCAGGGGTGGTGGCTCATGCCTGTAATCCCAGCACTTTGGGAGGATGAGGTGGGAGGATTGCTTGAGCCTAGGAGTTCGACTCTAACTTGGGCAACATAGCAAGGCCCTGTCTCTACAAAAAACAAAAACAAAAACATTGCCAGGCATGGCAATACATATCTGTAGTCCCAGCAACTTTGGAGGCTAAGGTGGGAGGATCACTAGGAGTTTAAGGCTGCAGTAAGCTATGATTGTGCCACTGCACTCCAGCCTGGGTGACAGAGCAAGACCATATCTCTGAAAAAAAAAATCACACCAGCGTACATCATACTCAAATTGTTCAAAATCAGTGATAAAGAGAAAAATCTTCAAAGCAGACACAATAACAACTCATCACAGGGGAAAAAGATAAGAATGACAGCAGATTTCTTGTCAGAAACAATGCAAGTAAAGAGGCAGTGGAGCAACATTTTAAAAGCACTAAAAGGAAAAAGACAAACAACTGTTAACTAGAAGTTCTACACTAAACAAAATATCGTTCAAAACTGAGATAAAACTTAGAATTTTCAGGACATACAAAAGCTAAAAGAATGCGTTACTGGTAGACCATCACTGCAATAAATGTTAAAGGAAATCCTTTGGGTTGAAGGAATACAATACCATATGGAAATATGGATCTAAACAAAAGAATGAGTACAAGAAAATACAGCTGTACCCAAAGGGAATGGTAACTACATAGCTAAATATATAAGCATTTTTTGTTATTTAAATCTCTTTGAAAGATAATTGTTTAATGAAAACAATGTATTGTAGGGCTTATAACACACACATATATACATATATGTACACACATATACATATTCATATATGTGTTTATATTTACACTCACACATATATGCATGTTTATATATATAATATGACAACAATAGCATAAAGTCCATGCTGGAAGAAACAGAAATATACTATTGAAAGGTTCTTATATGATACATGAAGTACTGTGATGCCATTTGAAAATAGCTGAGTTAAGTTAAAGATGAAGTTAAATAGTTCACAGAGCTAGTAAGTGGTAGAGTCAGGAGCTGAATCTGAGTCTATTTGACGCCAGAGGCCAACTTGAAGTTTCTTCTTCTGCTTTTGTGAAGGACACCAGCTAATCCACTTCAGCAGATATAAGAATCATGGTTGGCTATAAGTCAGTAATGTCTTATTTTTAAAGAAAAAAGACATGACAATAGAATCTATAAATCATTTCATTAAAAGTAATAGTAACAGTGAACTTTTTTTTTTTTTTTTTGAGTTGGAGTCTTACTCTGTCGCCTAGACTGGAGTGCAGTGGCCGCTCCCGGCCACCGCAGCCTCGACCTGCTGGACTCTGGCGATCCTTCCGCCTCAGCCTTCCGAGTAGCCAGAATTATAGGCACGCGCTACCACGCCCAGCTAATTTTTTGATTTTATTGTAGAGATGAGGTCTCGCCTGCCCAGGCGAGTCTTAAACCCACGGGCTCAGGCAATCCACTCACCGCAGCCTCCCAAAGGTGCGGGATTACAGGCTGAGCCACCGAGCCCGGCTGAACAGTGAACATTTATTGAGCCCTTACTATGTGCCAAATACTGTTCTAAGGTCTTTAGTTATATTAACTATCTCATTTAATTAATCCTCACAGCCATTCTTAGAGTCAGACTATTTTATTTCCATTTTACAGAGGATGAATCTGAGGCATAGAGACATTAAGTAACTTGTACAAGGTCACATGGTTGGTAAGTAGCAGAACTGGGATCCCAGCCCAGGTGGTTTGGCTTCAGAGCCAATGATCTTAATCACTATACTAAATTGCCCCCAGATTTTGTTATACTATAGATTATAATATGATTCCCTCATTAACTTTTATTATGTAATAACTTTTGTGGGCAGGCTTTAATAATTTAAAGATTTTTTAAAAAACTCTTCCTGAGTTTAATATGTTTTAAATGAATTTTAGTATGTTTCAAGTAAATTAAACAATGCTTAACACTGATAGTTGTTTGATTCAGAAATGACAAGCCATGACCACACAGCACTTCACCCTTTTTTTCCCATCTGATCCTAGGGTAGCACATGCTCTCAGGACCTACATGCTTCCTTTCTCTGCTTGTAGCTTAGAACGGAAGATATGGTATTAATAGTTCTTTCTGTCCCAAGACTCTGCTGCATTAGTTCAAGTATGCCTATCTGGAGCATATATTGTTGGAAAGATGGCATGAATAGATTTACTCAACACAGAGTTGCCACAAACCTTCAATTTGTAAAACAAAACAGCCACCAAAAAAAACCAATATCTGTGGAGCACCATAAAGTGGAATAAAATATAGTATACCTGTATTTTGAAGGCAGTTGAAGTGTAGAGTGGAACAGGTCGAGGCAGATAGAAGAGAAAGACAAGATTTTCAGAGAAAGCAGCCCTTCAAGGAGTTTTATTCCTGCTTTTCAAGTAACTGTCAAGTCCAAGCTC